AAAAGTTTTTGCAAGTATATGCGGAACCATATTTCCTATAAGATATCTAAGAGTATATTTAGACAGTACTTAATATTTTTTTTTATTATCAAGGTGACTTTTTGACCGGTGGCTTTTATTAATATATAGGTATGCTATTACATATGGGTAATATCTAAATTTAAATAGATGAAGACACAACTAGCCATACATACAATTTTAGCCAAAAATTTTGTCTTGTTGATTCTTACTACCGTATTTTCGTGAAATGGGCGTTATTTTGAAGATCGTGCTCCCTAAAAATAGTATGCAAAGTTTCAAAATAACGCTCATGCGCGTCCAGAAATGACGCGTATCCCATTAACAAATAATTTGATATGACAGGTTTGGGAAATTTTACCTTTGTCTCAAAAAAACGCCCATGCGCGTACTCTAAATAACGCGCAGGTGGGAGTTTTTCGCGAAAATATGGTATATATTTCCTTATTAGATCTAGTAAATGATTCATTGGAATAGTAATAATTTTTCGCATTTCATCTAAAACCTCATTTAGTTATTTGTTAGTCCTAGTAAAAAAATCATAAAAAACAAAGTTTTTAGTTAATTAAAATTGGGCGACGAAGCCGCCCACATGTGCAATTTCCGGTTTATAAATATATCTTATAAAGAAGCTGCGGAATCTGAATCTGACCAATTAAAATCTTTTTGCCGATTTTAAGGGATATATAATACTCATGCTTTACTGAACGAAAAGATCGGTACGACTGGTTACAAATGCCGGTTAGCCAAAGGAGCCGTAAATAAATTCAAATAAAGGGGATAAGTAATCCGAACTGGAACGAAGATATGCTCCCAGAAAATTAGCAAGATTGCATCAAGTATCATCGTAACAGTAGAACGAGCGATAAGCCGGTGGTTTCCCGCCTGCTCGAAGCAGCCGGTTGTTAAATAGGAAAATAGCAGCTATTGTGCGAGTGGGTGGGAAATGGGTCGAGAAAATTTTCGGTTGTCAAAGAGAGTTGAAAGGCGTCTTCATCAACCCTTTGTATATATGAGTGCTGCCAAGGGAATAAGGCCGTACGGACTTTCAATTATATTTTGTGTACAGATAGCCGTCTGTGAAAATCTATCATGATGATAAACTTTCCATAGACACAAAATATAATTGAAAGTCCGAACGGCTTTCCCCCCTGGCAGCACTCATATCTTGGTTGGTGGCTTTTCTATTACTGTACAGCGCTCCCGGTCTTTTATACGTACAAGAAACCCAAGATTAATTAAATAATCCTGGTGTACTGTGTAAAGAGAGGGATACTATACAAGGGGGTACGCTGAAAGGAATATTAATCATATGGTTGATCGTATAACAAGATCATTGATTCGACCACTGGTTAATACCGGAATACTTTTCAAAAATGTTAGAAATTATAATTGAATAATACCCGATACTATTTAAGGGGATACTTCTTCAAGGGGGGTACTATACGCAGCGCTGTACGGTACATAGATTCAACATTGTTCTCTGATCCCCTTTCTTTTCGATCCACTGACTTCGTCAACATGCAAGAATTGCTTCCATGCGCTACATTTTTATGAAAAGGGATTTGTTGCTTTTAATAAAAGAAAATTAATCTGCATCTTCATATGCTATTGAGAACGATAAATTTAGCTTATTTATACAGATTGGTTTTACCTTTATTATTTCTAAATAATACGATTAAAATTTTTAAGTCTCCCACATTGGTACAGGAAATCTAAAAACCTCAATATTTTTGCATAGAAATAATACTCTGAATAAAAATTATACAGTATCTTATTGAGATAAATCAAATTATTATCATCGCTCAAATTATTTCTTCGAACAAATAACCGTCGAAGAATGGCAATGAAAATTTTAGGAATGTTATTAGCTTTACAAAAGCCGTCTTTAGCCATAGATTCGAGCTAAGCCTAACAAAGTTAAGCTGAACGAACTTACAGCTTTAAGCTATGGCTTTAAACTACGGCTTAAACCAGAATAAAGGCAGCTCCAGTCACAGCTGAAGTTATTGACTTTAATTACAGCTTGAAGCTATATTCATGGCTAAGCTAAGTTTTGAGTATAATATACATACTGTATGTACTTGAATTTATTAGCGATAAAAATTATTTAGGATATTTAATTAGCACAAATTACTTTGGCTAATTAATGCGTCATCAACCTGGCACACATCTTTATATACTGAATTAAAATTATAATAATGCCTCAAGTGGTAACTGAGGCGCCTCGGATGACGATAGAGACACCTCAGATAACCAATCGACAGGTTACGCACCTCATCTGACGTCTGAAGTGCTTCAGTTATCACCTGAGGCAAGAAACACAACATATACTGTATATATATATTTAACCTTAGCGTAAATGCCGCGGGTGTGCAGTTATATTATATTTTTTATTTATTAGTATATAATATATATTAGATTGATACTTATATTTTATTATAGTATACATAGTTTGATATATATTAGATAAAATAAATAAATTATTTTATATAAACTTATGTAACAATTATAATATTTAACTATAACAGATAATACAAAACTGTCTATTTTTTTATATTATATAAAAATTCTTTCTACATTTACTTTGAACCAACTACCATAAATATATAAATAAATATATATATATATAACTTCTATATCAGCGCAATCTATTTTATTTAAACCGTATTTTTTAAATAATCTTGGAGTATAATTATAGAAAAATCCAAATATATTAATAATTAATAAAAGTTAAAGCAATATAATTAATTAAAGTAATACGTATAATTAAATTAATAGATATAGCTGATATTAAAAATATGTAATCAACTCAAGAGTTAAAGTAGTAGGGTTGATTAATAATATATAATATATAAATTAATATTCAATTTATATTTACTGTATAAGTAAAAGTAAAAATGTCGTTACGGTGAGTTATACTGACAAGTCGATTAATTAGTTGACCGTTTTTGTAATAGTTCAAAGTCGATTGGACCAACTAAGCTACGTGGTTATATTGTATAAAAAAGATTTTGAAATAAAATAATAAGAGTTTTTTAATTAATGCAGTATTTTAACCATAATCCCACGTTTTTATAATTAAAAAATGTTCAATTACCAATTTCATATATATATATTATATGTATATGTATATATAAAAATGTATAAATTTATGCGTTAATATACTATATGTTGTAGTATAGTTTTTATTTATACCACAGGTTGTAGCTTATAAATTTACTCAAACAAACATCATATAAATGTAATTTATATTATGCTATCCTTGTTCTCAGTTTCCTGATTAGAAAATTTTAGAATATGCAATATTGCGTATTTTTCTATAACCTTGCTCTTTTGAACTTCTGCAATATTATACATATGTTTTGGAACGTTGCATGACACATTTAATAATGAGATGCAATAATTCCTGATGATTACTATTAAAAGAAGTAAAATAACCATTATCACGCACGGGCATCATTTTTTGTAATATTTACATACACAAAAAGACATCTGCTGAACATTTGCGTGCTTTTCAAAATTTTTAAAGAAAAGTCTGAATGCCACTATTCGCATAATTTCGTCATAGCGCATTCAATTCACAATATATCAATATCGAAAATAATTTAAGATTAATACAAACGAAACTGCATTTTTAGTAAGATAATCTTCGCATTTTCTTAAATTACTATTGTTTTTTTTTATTATTTTTTTTATTTTTTAATATAAGAGTACTTTACGCCCAATATGAAAAAATTGCCGAAATTGATCTTTCTAAACTAAATTCGTGGTAGCAAAGCCATTAAGATTTAAATTTATCAGAATAGAGATGGAGTAATTTATGAATAAATGTAGATGTTAAATACTATCGAATATTCCAGAATCTATGCAACGAAATACAATAAATTTCTGAACCATGCGAGTAGTTTGTCCAAAAGGAGAATACGGAGAATATATAAAGTTTGGCCAGTTTGACTTGTGTTTTGTGCAAAGAATTGATGCGACATTGCATTTCATCAAATACGCTACATACAAATCTCATTTCAGTAACCCTTAATGCAGTAATGCCGTCGCTTTTATCAGGTGATCAATGCCAATTGGCTGAAATCATTGGACCGTCACTTGGACGAAAATAAATTCATTTTTTTATATACATCAAATCAAACTATCCACAGTGACGTACCTCATTAGACATAGATGTTCATCATTTAATTAATGCACTTAACATGTAAAAATTAGCTACAATACTATCAGCCTATATGATCAACAAGATAATTAAGTTAGGATTAGGGCTTGAAGTCAACAATAGTATAATAAATTGCATAAGAAATTTTTGTCAGAACACAAAGGTGCAAATTCTTTCGAATTTCTATGTGTTACACCTGATTAGTTACAGTAATTTGCTGTCTTTATCATGTGATCGGAAATTCTGGTTAGCCCGAGACATTGGAAATGAAAAAAATGGGTTGCTGACATGCAAAATTCTTTAATAAATGAACGGCGTTTTTCTTTCAGTGCTTCCTGATTAATCATACGTACTGTACGCCAACTTTATATTGGATAAGAATGTTCTCAGACCCAGGTTGGCATTTAGATGTAACTAATTTTGAAAATTAGCACGTTCATTAAGTAAAAATAGAAATTAAAAAATTAACCTGAAACACGATGTTGTGGCGACAAATTTACATATTGACATATATATTCTTGATGGTCAGGTCCCAAATTTTCTGGTTAATTTTATTTAAATGAAGGGCGTTTAACTACTTAAAATATTTATTCCAAAATGCAAGCCTCTAACGCTTGCTTTGAAAAACAATATGTAATATGTATATTTAAGGCGAGCATTTTCATCTACTGTACGTGTATGCTTTGTGTGAGAGCTTTATGTGTGAATATGCTTCTTAGGTATACGCGCGTAATTAATTAAAGAAAAAAAAAAAATTTAATAAAGCCCTAGGATTCAGTAAATTACAAACAGACCACGTATATTAGAAAAGCCAGTTTATCATTATGTTACAAATTTTTGATTAAACCAAATTCGGATAAAAAAGCGTCTCTAGCGCTAATATAACATGGTCCACTTTTTAATATTGCTTTTAATATGGTTGTTGGCCATTACACTGTGTAGTACATAAGACTTTAGCGTTTAGCGCATGGTCCTCTTTTTAAACGCCATTTGCGTAAAACGATTTCGTTCATGATCTGTTTCCGCTTTTGTAAAATAATAATAGTATAATAAAAATATTAAAATAAAAGATTTAATTTATTTATTTTTATTGGTTTATTTTTATTTGCAGTGTTTTAATTAATAAAATAAGACAATTTCAACAAATATGTTACATTCCCTGGCTTGTATGGTACTCAAACCAGGAGAGACAAAGGAAAATATTATATGAGTAAATACAATTATAATATTTTTAACACATCTATACTGGACGATTTATAGCCAATACTTGGCTTCTAATAAAAAAAGGAAATTTCATTGCCTGTTCATGAGAATTTTAGCTCCCCAAATTTCGTGGGTTATACCTTAATTAAATATTATACATGCATATGCGTTCAATGAATAGATTGCTCACGAATTTTACCAAATCCAGGTTAGATAAAAACGAGCATGTGTATATGCACGCATGTGTATATGCACGATAATTAGCCTTAATGTGTTAATCGCATGCCGATGTATAATACTTACTAGCCAAGAATTTTCACAGAATATAACATCCAATAAAACCATTCTGAAATCTTATCTTGATTCTTCAATGCCATTCGTGGATTTGCAGACTTTATCCTGATTTATATTTTGTATTATCTTTCTACAGAGAATCGATTAGTAATATTCGACAATAATATCTTTCATGTTTTTAGAATATTGTAGATTTAATACTTCGTTCAAAAATTTAGTAAATTTGATATTTATTCACAATTAGTAAAACATAACGATAATGATGATTTACAGCAACATTGTTCTTCATTTTTATCCAAGTTGGCACATCAACTGATGAATATGTTATCGACTATCGCTATAAATTACGTACAAGCATGACATTAATCATGTGCATTTAGATACAATCTATTCAAAGAAAACATGCATTTAGCCGAGTTTAATAGATTCAAGATATCTTACTTAATGATAAATCATTTCTTAATAGCTGTTATCTACAGTACATAACATGTGAGAGGAAATTAGTTAATATATTATCTAATATTTATAACTCTCCCAATTGGCCCATACAATTAATTAATCCTTCTGTGAATATTCATAAAAAATCGATGTACCTATGTCACTCCTAGTGAAAACTAAATCTGACTAAAAGTCATGAAAAAATAGATCAAACCAGTAAGAACGTAGTAAATCTAAAGTTTTTGTAGTGGCTACAAATGTGTAAACTATACAAATACGTACGTATCAATAACATTTAAATTAACGTGCGTTTTTATGAAAGAATACCCGAGTTTTTAATTACGCCAACTTGCTTAAGTCAACACTTTTATTTATTATGCAACATTAAAGATCAATTTTTTGGACATAGATTTATACATATTATATAGCAGGATAGCTGTTCCTGATTCATATAAAATTCTTTTTTTAGTAACGAGCACTCTCTTAATTAAATTTATTAGAACTACTCATCATCACCCTACCTTAAATATTATTACATAAAACGCCCCGGGTGCTCTGGTATATGATCATTGTGACGGATGTGAGAAAACAAAAGAACAAACAATTAAAAAAGAATAATTCGATTATGCAAAAGCCCATATTCAAACAGGTATCTGAATAAATGTGTCGCTTAAAAAGATTTCATTAGTAAGGTTACCGAAACAAAGATTGCTTATCATTTCGGAATATCAGCGAATATTACCAATTGTGAAAGAAAATAACAAAATCATTATCGCATAATTTGATCAATGGACTATCTTTTTCTTTTTCTTTTTCTTTTTTGCTTTTTTTTTGCTTTTTTTTTTTAACAAAGGATATCCAATAAAAATGTATGTATGTACTGTACTTTTTTTTTTTTTTTGAAAAAAAAACGCGCATTTACTTTGTACGTAGTCACCATTACCCGCGAACAGCCAGGGACATGCTTTTTCTATAAGTTAGCCTATCTGTGATATGTTTCACATGCATAGCATTTATGGCTTACGTAAGTACATGCATGTGTTAACAGTTTCTTTTGATTTTAAAGTTGTATATAGGTTCGGTGATCTATTGTCCACAATTCTCTTCTTCGGTTTGATAGTAACACCTAAATGAACTTTAATCATAGTAGACGATCTGAGATAGGTAAATTTAGAATTAGTCCACCTAAATTTGATTGCTCTGGATTATAGAATTTAAAAAATTCATAAATCTAAATGCAATTTGCAATGAAATTTTTACTCCAATTTTTATACATTATTACACTAACTTAGTGTAAAGCGCGAGATCATATTTTGTATGTTTTTATTACAGTATCGGGGTTTTTTCGAAATATGAATAAAATTACTTTATATTTAAATATCGAGTTTTGGTAATACGACATGTAACAGTTTTGGTAGTTGTGTTATGATAGCATGCGTACGTACCTAAATATTTTGATCCAGGCACAGTATTTTGAAAAAAAGAGATCTCGATGCAGGCAAGAAAGTGTTTATCATGTTTCGTGCAGGCAAGAAATGTCTAAATAAACGATTAAAGAGTAGCATGAAAAATGCCTAAATAAACGATAAAAAGTGGCATGTCAGATTATTTAAAGTCTAGAAAGTCTAAATTTCCCGTTTTTGGAGTTATAATCTCATCCAATTTCAGTTAATCGAACAGCGATCAATTCTTTATAGAATTCTTCGGTATTTCTGTAACTTTAAATGATAAACCATTTTTATATATTCTTCAAGCATTAATAGATTCTCAAATAATATATCGGCATGGTACTTAAATTATCTTTTGTGATTTCAGTTAGGCACGTACGTACGAACGTTGTAACAACTGCTATGTCGATAGTTGATAATTGTCTTATTTGTACGTTCAAAGCTGATTTTTGGGTCTATATCATCCCCTAGGTTTAGGGACAGTATAAATACACGTGATTGTGTTGTGGTTTTGACATATAAAAAATAAAACCGGATCCAAGCTCTAGTCGTGATTGGTTGGTTTGGATTAGAGTAGAGACCCGTAAAAAAATAATACAAATTTTTTTGATCATGCAAATTTCGAAGAGTAAAATTTACGTGATACTCTATAATATATGCTAAATTTGACCGGCTAGTAATGCCGGATCACGGGCAGAATTAAGAAATATAAGAGGTTCTGAAAATTTTTGCAAAAAAAATCAGGACAAACAAAAATTTGAGTAAATCTGATATTTTTTAAAAAAGTTTTTTAAAAATTACAAATTACAGTAATACAAATTTTAATCGATAACACTAAGTCACACCACTGGTGTTCAACACCACATATATTTTTTAATAGCTTCGCTAGTAAGATTTAGGATTAGAAGGTTGGTATAGGTTGAGTTAGTATTAGAGGTAAAATCTACCGTATTTTCGCGTAATAACGCTCATGAGCGTTATTTAGAATAATGGCCCGAATTAAGCTTAATTTGGGCCAAATTTTGAAATTACACCCTGCGTGTTATTTCGCGAAAATACGGTAGATTAATATGTTTTTGGGTGTTGAACATTTTTACATAGAACACCCGGTATTGATTACTCAGCTAGCTTTTAAGATATACAGTAGCAATTGTGGTGTTGAACACCACTGGTGTGATTTAGTAAAACTGATTTTAATTATTAATGCATATTTTTGCAATAATACAAATAAAAATAGAAAATTACTACATATCACCACTGGTGAACCAGTTCTAAGATAGAGTTAGGGTTAGAAATTAGAGAATTATTTTTTTATATAATATAATATAGAGCTAATATAAGGTCCTGATTTCAGTTCTTCTGAGGTTTTTAGGGGTTCTGAGCATTTTTACTTAGAGTACCCGATCCCGTTTACTTAGTATGTTTTTGAGATATAGCAATACTGGCGATGATCACCAGTGGTGATAAATAGCAAAATTCATAAAAATTATAAGTTTTGAAGTAATATAACTGCACTGTTCTAAGTACTGTTATAGATTTCATAATTACAATTATTATAAAAGAATTA